GGAGGTAAGCTATTGACTTGGCAGTATCTTGTTCCTGAGTAATACTATCGGTGATCCAGTGGAGGAAAGTCCTGGTCAGGACTAGGGCTCTGCTACAGTCATCTAGCACTGATCCATCTGTTGTTTTCCACATTTCACATATACCTTGTTTTAATATTTATGAAACAAAGTACATAGGTCGTGAAAAGGTTAAAAAAGAGTTATGTTGACTTTAAGAGAAATGGAGAATATTTCAACAACACACAATAACAGTAAATTTAATAAAACAAGTAATTCTGCAGTAGAATAGTACTTGTACACAGCTAATAATACTTAGGAAAATAACATAACGGAGAGCAGTGTCAATCTCTGCAGAAAACCAAAACACTTAGGAAAAAGGGTTAGGGGGTTAGGAGGGTAGAGTAAATTTGAAGGGAATCAAGATATAATACACGCAATCAAGTCACACTGCTTTTATTGCCAATAACTGCCTCAATGTATTTATTTTTTAATAAGCTTTTCAAATGATGTATTATTTTTGGATAAACTTTTAATATAAAATATTATTTAAAATACATTTTAATAATTGATATTTGTCCTATATATATTATTTATTTTGATATTTTAAAAGTGTTATAAAATCTTTTTAAAAGCTTACCTAAAAATATTAAATTGAGGCTCACATTAGATTGATTCAAGAGTAACTTGATGTGTCTAATTCAAAATATGGCATAGTGTTTTTTACATTAGCTCAAGCTCTAGATTCTACATGTAAAGGTCCCATATTTTATATATACCTTGTGTTAATAATTGTAGAACAAAATACATTTGGTAATGAAAAGTTTAACAAAGACTTGTGAAATTTAGGAGAAATGGATGGAAACCAAATATTGTTTGTTTAGTTTTGGTTTTGACTATGACTGCAAGTAAGTAAAATAAAAAGCAATATAGCATAGAATAACGGCAAATGTAATAAAATAAATAATTCTACAGTAGTGTAGCACATGTACAAAGCTAATAATACAGTGGATAATATAATATAATATAAAAAATAGGAAAAATCTGGCACTCTACCTGATCTTGAGGAAGACCTCCTGGTCGAAACGTTGATCGCTTAAATACTACATGAATACAACTTTGAAAAATCCATTGAGTGCTCTCTCTTCATTCATTTTTAATATAATAAAATGTAATTTAAGAGTAGTGTCAAGTAGTATAATTCACATCAGAAAAACTAAACACTTAGAAAAGAAAATGAGGGAAAAAGCAGAGTGAAGGAAAAAGGAGCCAAATATTAACTAAATACACTGGTCAACACTGATTGTATCGCTAAAGATGGCCTTGATTTAGTATTGTTGGATGAGTTTTCAAAAATAGTTTATTTTTAAGATAGACGTTTACATAATGAAAAAAAATATTAAAAGTCTATCCCCCCCAAAAAATAATAATTTGAAAAGCTTAAATATTAAATATTTTAAGTTTAAATGTGTCTAGTAGATGTTACTTTGACAGCCATTAGAAGCACCTCCAACAAAATAGTTGACCAAAAATCAGCTGTTTCAATCAGATGGTCTCTACTTGAGCGTGCCTGCCTTTACCTCCCTCACAGACCTCATTGGGACGCCGGGTACAGAATGGTGGATGTGGGACTCATACAGGAATCCCCTGCAGACATATTGTTAGGGAATGATCTTGGCCAGTTGACCTCTGCCTTCGCTCCCCAGCTGATTACTGAGGAAACCCACCTGATGACCACCCCACAGCAGGCTCGCAACCCTTCCCCGCACATAGAAACTTACCTGGGATGCCCCAGAATTGTGGAAGTAGGTAGCTTGTGACCCCAAGTTCCAGGTATATAGGGATCAGGTCACCAACAGTAAAACTGGTGAAGTAACCTCCAGAAAGTCACCAGCGCACTGGGTATGATAGAGGAGCCAGGGGTTGCAGCTTTCAAATAGGACAGAAGGTTTTGGTTTTAAAACCAGTCTGCAATGACAAGCTGCTTGCAACCTAGCAGAGCCCATACTGGGTGGTAGAGCAGAAATGTGATATCACAAGTGATTGGTCTGTTAGATGGCCTCTATGACTATACCTATGCATACTTGGATGACTCAAGCCCAGTAAGTGACACATTGAGATGAGGTTCAGTATCTGAGACACTGGATGGGTTTTGGGAAGCAAAAACCTAATCCAATGGTCAAAGCAGTAGTTTAGTGGTCCACCCCCAGAAACAAGACCCAGGTTATGGCCTTCCTAGAGACCGGAGGGTATTAGTGGAACTTTGTCCCGAACTACAGTGCCCTAGCTAAACCCCTCACCAATTTAATTTGTAAGAAGCTACCCCCAAATGTAGTATGGGCCCCAGAGTGTGTGCATGCATTCCAAAAACTAAAACAGGCTCTTGTAAATGCCCCTATCCTGACTTCTCCCAATCCACCCACACTTTTTTTGTCCAGACAGATGTTTCAACGTTTGGATTGGCAGCAGCATTGAGCCAGGTAGGAGAAGATGACGAGAACATCCCATAGCTTACTTGAGCAGAAAACTTCTATCAAGTTAGGTTTGCTATGTTGCTATCGAAAAAGAGTGCTTGGCAGTGGTGTGGGCCTCGAAGAAGCTCCAGCCTTCTCTATATGGAAAGGAATACACCTTGCTCTTGGATCACATCCCATTGGTATGGCTAAACCAAGTGGCGATGTCCGGCTGGTGCGCTGGATTTTGGCGCTGCAGCCAAATGACTTCACAATGCACTACCACCCCGGGAAGCAGAAAGGCAATTCCGATATCTCAACAAACTGAACTAGAAAAGTGATCTATGAGTACCCCCGGACATCCCCAAACCAATCCATTGGGGTCAGACTGTGCATACCAACTTGTGGTTAAGATGGAACTGTATGGTGGACCCTGTCCTTATACCCATACTTTTTCCCCCAAAAAACTATTCACTGTGCCCCTGGTTCAGTACCTTCCCTTCTTCCAAACGTTTACGACTAGAGTTGAGAGGACACCTGGATTTTCGGGTTCGGCGGGTTTGGCCGAACTTCGGAAAAAAGTCCGGGTTCGGGCTCAAACTTGACCCCGAACTTGACCCCGAACCCCATTGAAGTCAATGGGGACCCGGACTTTTGGGCACAAAAATGTCTCTAAAAAAGGTCCTGGTAAGGGCTAGAGGGCTGCAAAAGGAAGTACAATGGGGCTAAGAGTAGGACAAGTGCCCTGCAAACAAATGTGGATAGGGAAATCACTTAAAATAACATAAAATACCTAAAAATTAAAAATACAGATGAGCCATAAAATAGCACTAGATGGAATCTTTGATTTTAGCTTTGGAAAAACATAAATCAAAATCTAAAGCATGGCTGTCAGGAGGATCACCAAAATTATCCATTTGAGAGAGGGTTGGAGTGCAGGGTATTCTCTTTCATTGTTCAAACTGAGCTCAACTCCTGATGCATGGAAAAAAGGCCTTCACAAGCCTCTGCTATTGTGTACATAGTTTATACTAAGTCACCCCTAGATTGAGGAGGTGGTGACCGTGGTGGTTTAGGTGGAAGCGGCTGTGGAGGAGGAGGTAGAAACACTGTTTTTTTTTTTTTAAATTGAGGTAGCCCCCAAAATATTGGGACATATAAAAAAAGAAACATTTGCTGCCTGGGGGCATTTCTTGCAGCCCAATAACGCCATCAGGTTTTTAAAACTGTCTGTCTCCACCAGACGAAATGAAAGCATTTCAAAGGCCATTAATTTTTAAATGCTGGCATTCAGGGCCAGGGATCACGGGTGGGTAGGGGGCTACTTCCTCTTTCTCTCCAGGGTTTGGGATATAGACAGCTGAACGCTTCCATGGGACAGTGTGGAGATGCTTGGGGACAGTGGCGAACGTGGTGGCGTTGCTGCCACATCCTCTGTTTGCGGGGTGGCAGGTGAAGAGGAAGCAGAAAGTCAAGACAGAAGCAGAAGAGGAAGCAGGAGGAGCCTGAGACCTTTCTTGTTTTTTTGAGGTGCTTACTCCACTGCAGCTCGTGCTTTGCACGTAGATGCCTGGTCATGCAGGTTGTGCTCAGGTTTAGCACGTTTATGCCTCGCTTCAGGCTCTGATTGCACAGCGTGCAAACCACTAGTGTCTTGTCGTCAGCACATTGTCTGAGGAACTGCCACGCCAGGGAATTCCTTGGAGCTGGCTTTGGTGTGCTCGGTCCCTGGGTGCGGTGGGTAGTAGCAGGCGTACTGTCTAGGGGACGGCCGTTCCGCTTTTGCACCCTGCTCTAGGAGGAGGAGGTGGATGTGGAGTAGGAGGTTGAGGAGGCGGTGACCGTGGCAGTGTAGGTGGAAGCGGCGGTGGAGGTGGAGGAGGTAACCTACCCTGTTATTTATTTATTTCTTTTATTTTTTGGGGGGGTAGCCCTCAAAATATTGGGACATATAAAAAAAAGAAACATTTGCAGCCTGCGGTGCGTTTCTTGCAGTCCAATAACGCCATCAGGTTTTTAAAACTGTCCGTCTCCACTAGACGGAATGACAGCATTTCAAAGGCCAGGAATTTCGAAATGCTGGCATTTAGGGCCAGGGATCGCAGGTGGGTAGGGGTGAATGACTGGACTGATAACCGTGGAAATGACCCCTCTTCCTCCTTCTCTTCCTCCTGTGCCACATCCTCTTCCATCATCGCCCAAAGCGTTTTTTCAAGGAGACATAGAAGCGGCATAGTTGGTGGAGTCCTCGAAACAGTGCAACATGGCACACAGGTCTCGCACGGAGGCCCACTCATTGGTGGTGAAGTGGCGCTGTTCCACAGAGCCACTGACCCGTGCGTGCTGCAGCTGAAACTCCGCTATCGCCTGCTGCTGCTCGCACAGTTTCTCCAGCATGTGCAAGGTGGAGTTCCACCCTGTGGGCACATTGCATATGAGGCGGTGAGCGGGAAGGCCGAAGTTATGCTGCAGTGCAGAGAGGCGAGCAGCAGCAGGGTGAGAATGCCAAAAGCGCGCACAGACGGCCTGCACTTTCTGCAGCAGCTCTGATATATCTGGGTATACACCGTGGCGGTGTAGGTGGAAGTGGTGGCAATGGAGGAGGAGGAGGTAGCCAACACTGATTTATTTTTTTTATTTTTATTTTTTATTGGGGTAGCCCCCAAAATATTGGGACGTATAAAAAAAGAAAAAAAAGAAGAAGTGCACTTATGGCTGGGTGAGGCCAGACAAGTCTGGTGGGATCCATGCCTGGTTCATTTTAATAAATGTGAGCTTGTCCACATTGGCCGTGGACAGGCGGCTGCGCTTGTCTGTGATAACCTCGTGCCGATCGCATGTCCCCGTGACGGCCATAACGCATTCAGATGTCTGCCATATCAACTTTGGATGCAATTTTCCGCGCCTACCATGGTGACCATGAGTAACTGGGAATCAGGGTTCGATTCCAGAGAGAGAGCCTAAGAAACAGCTACCACATGCAAGGAAGGCAGCAGGCGCGCAAATTGCCCACTCCCGACGCGGGGAGGTAGTGACGACAAATAACAATACACTACTCTTCCGAGGCCCTGTAATTGTAATGAGTCCACTTTAAATCCTTTAACTTGGATCAATTGGAGGGCAAGTCTGGCGCAGAGCGACTGACCTGTGCGTGCTGCAGCTGAAACTCTGCTATCGCCTGCTGCTGCTCACTGAAGCTGCATCAGGGTCCTGGTATGTGGCCGCACAAACTCTGGAGCTCAACACCAGGGGGCATGCGGTTACCCTGCACCAGACCCTGCTAATCCATTTCACACTGTGACTCCTAACTTTAACATCAGGCATACTGGGTCCCGGTCGTCCGACCGCCGCCCAAATAGTGTCTGGGTCCCGGTCACTGGACTGCGAAACTGCGAATATGCTCGTTAAATCTGTTATGGTTCCTTTTATCGCTCCATCTGTTACTTGAATAACTGTGGGAATTCTAAAGATAATACATGCCGACGAGTGCTAGGGGACGGCCGCTCCACTTTTGCACCCTGCTCCCTCTTATGCTGTGCTGGTGCCTCTGTGCAACACGTCACTCGCATGACCTTCATTCCACATTGTTTTGGTGTTTGGTTTTTAACTTTGTAGTTATGTCTTTACACAATATAGAAATGTATATTAATGCTTCTGTATATGAAGCGATCACAATAACACTTATTTTTCACTTTTAAAAAAAATCTTTGGACTTTCTTGAGAAGCTGTAACTAGCCAGTGTTGCACACATACACCAGATATGAAGTGCAGGCACTAAATTGACTTTTTAGCACCTAAAGAATTAGAATTTTTAAAACTGCAATGTAAGCACAGTATTTGACGGTTCTATTTGACTCTCAGATATGAAGTGCAGTAACCAAATTGACTTTTTAGCACCTAAAGAATTATAATTTTTAAAACTGCTATGTCACAGCAGTATTTGTGTCACATATTCATCCGCTTATAGAAATGTGGTTAATGACATTTACTGTCCACACAGGAAAAGTTGTGCCGAGCAGCAACCTAATCCACAGGAGGGTTAATGCTGAGCAGTAATTGAGCAAATGAAACCTGGTGTCATGTATTCATCTGCTTAGAGAAAAGTGATTAATGACATTTACTATCCACACAGGAAAAGTTGTGCCGAGCAGCAACCTAATCCACAGAAGGGTTAATGCTGAGCAGCAATTATGCAAATGAAACCTGGTAACCAGGGGCGGACTGAGAACCCTCAGGGCCCCCGGGCAAAATAAATCAAGGGCCCCCTTACAGGCCCCACCCATACTCTGCAGCAAGCGCCACCCTTGTCCCGCCTCCATGCACCGCCTCCAGCCACACCCTACACAATCTTTAGACACAAGGAACAAAAGGGCAATAAGCCCTTCGAGGCCCCAGTAGAGACTACAATTGAGGGCTAATGGGCCATGGAGGGGGGTCTTTCTAGCGGAGGCTATCTCAGTGTCCTTTAGAGAGTGTGTTAGATAGAATCCCCTCCAAGCCCCATTAGAGACTACAATGGAGTCTAAAAGGCTTGGAAGGGGGTCTTTCTAACAGAGGCCATCTCAGCGTCCATTAGATATCCCCTGCTGGAAACAGTCGCCTCCAGGCCCCAGTAGAAACTACAATTGAGGGCTAATGGGCCATGGAGGGGATTTCTAGCAGAGGCTAGAGTCTAATGGGGCCTGGAGGGTGGTCTCTCCAACACTCTGGTTCCTATTCACAATATAGCAACACAACATAGCTCGCTGATACCTAAGCCAAGTTGGCTCCTCTTACCTTAATTACTGTTGCTGGCTGGCAGTCTGTGGGCTTGCTGGCTGCGGCTGGCAGGCTGTGGGCTTGCTGGCTACTGCCGGCAGGCTGTGGGCTTGCTGACTGCGGCTGGCAGGCTGCGGCTGGCAGGCTGTGGCTTGCTGGCTGTGAGCCTGTGTCTTGCTGTAGGCCTGTGGGCTGGCTACTTGTGGGCTGGCTAACTGGCTGGCTACTGGCCAGCCTGTGCTAACTGGCTGGCTACTGGCCAGCCTGTGGGTTGGCTGGCTGGCTACTGGGGCACTTGTAGATTATTTAAAGAAATAATCCATGCACAATAACCACTACTGCTCCAGAGTAAGTAGTCAAACCGTTTAAGAACAGTTTGACAACTTACCTGGGGTCTGCTGGGATATGAGGCTGTAGTAGGGAATAGGAGCAGTGGTGCAATGTGTGTGAAAGGTTCAGTGTGTGTGTGGGGGTGTAGTGTGTGAATGTGTAGGGTGTGTGGGCAGTGTATGTGTGTGGCAATGTTAGTATGGGGGCTGTGTATGGGGGTCTGTGTGTATATGGGTGGGCAGTGTATGTGTGTGTGTGAGGCAATGTGTGTGAATGTGTATGGTGTGTGTGTGGGGGCAGTGTGTTTATGGGGCTAGAGTTCACTCTCACCACTGCGACCACCAGGAATCCATGGGGGTTACAGTGTTGAGAGTGAACTCTAGCCCGTAGCTCCAGGGCTAGAGTTGACTCTCGCAAGAGCAGTAACTTTGCCATGGTAACCGCGGCAACGCTCTGTGCTCGCGCAAGAAGGACTCAGAGGAGCTGCAGGGTGAGCTCCCAGGTCCTCTCTTCCTCCCCTGCCCGCACGGTGCCTGCGGACAGGGGAGGGGGGGCATTCTTCCCTCTCTTTCTCCCCCCTCCCCCAACTCTCTATTACTCCTCTTTCTCCCCGTGTCTCATTCTTCCCTCTCTGTCTCTTTCTCCCCCTCCCTCTATTCCCCCTCTTTCTCCCCGTGTCTCATTCTTCCCTCTCTGTCTCCCCATCTCTCTATTCCCCGTGTCTCATTCTTCCCTCTCTGTCTCTTTCTCCCCCTCCCCATCTCTCTATTCCCCCTCTTTCTCCCTGTGTCTCATTCTTCCCTCTCTGTCTC